GACCAGACCCCCCGCAGATCACAACGGTTCCTGAACCTTGTCCGAACCCTTTCCCTTCTGGTCGTGCAACTGGCTCAATTGGCCTCTCTGATTTGCTTCGAAATCGGCGCTCCATGCACAAAGTCATCGGGGTTAAGCAAGAAGCATGGGTTCCCTCCAGAAGAATTTCACTAATACGGCGGAATACCTGGTCCAATACCTGTAGGTACTGCGTCAACCCCCCTCACTAATAGGACGGCTGCTTTCTGCTACTGCAAGATGCCGTGGCAGCTACGACGTCCGGGTTTCCCATTATCGACAAGCCGGGCCAAGGAGGAACGACAGGTGTTTGGGATGGACAGGTCCTTGGGAAGAGTACAACCTGCCGGCGAGCGCCCACGGCTCCAATTAGACGGCGCAACTCTCGGTCAACTTGTGAGGGCGCATGGAGAACCCCGCTCCTCTCGGCCAGCAATTCCACAGTCCGCCCCCATCCCACTCTTCCTATTCCCCTCCCGCAACCCGGCCGCTGTATCCAGACCAAACTCGCAAAACCCCCATCCCAGAGCTACAACCTAGGATCCGATCCCTCCAGCAACCGCGTCCAAATGTCACCCTACCAGTACCAAGTCTGCGAAGTCCCTCGCCTGGCCGCTTCTAAGCGTCCTGCTGCTGCTAGAGCTGGTCATGGACCCCCAAATCGACGACCTAGAGAGGTCGGGAAACCTGACTCGCCAGAGAAGCATGGGTTGGGCGACGTCGCGGCGACGACAACCTCCCGACGACGGTTGACTTGTGACGCCTCCTCAGCCTGCTAGCGATGCGTCTAGGAGTCGAAGGAGCAGATCGGTCCAGCTTGGTGCCCCGAATACTCGGTCGCGGCTTACACCACATGCAGATGGGAGGTATTGGCAGGTACAGTACGTCGGTCATCGTCACCGCGCACACCGATGACAGCATCGCACTCCTTTTCGGGAAGACGTTGGATCATCATTCACGAGTTGAGTATCATATGTTCAAGTGATGAGACATGGCGGATTGAACATGATCCCACAGAGCAAAAGGCAATAAGGGGTTCACAGGGTTTGACCCAAGCGGAATACCTCTGCTCTCGCTCAATTGCCCCATTCGGCATTGTCTGCATCGCCGGCGTGGGATGCTCAGTTCTCACGAGAGCACTTGAGACTCTCAAGCTGACAAGAACACGGAAGACGAGGCAAAAACCCTCAATGAGCCCACTTGGCTGGAGACAGGTGATACTCACCGGTTTGCCACGATCCATCATCTGGCCGGAGCTTCGCCGAGGTCTCGACTCTTGACCTTTGGGCAATGAGTCTTTTTCATTCATCTGCTCGTCGTTTTCTTCCTGATCCAAGTCTCTGGAGAAATGCTACACCAATCATCTTCTTCCCTTTTTTTAGCCTTTGATCGTGCTTCCTCAAGTCTCCGATGGATCCCCCCGTTCGTCCGTGCTTTTTTCACTTATCTCTGGTGTTGCGGAGCAGATCGTACCCGTTCCCAGATCCACAGATAGGGGACTCACCAAGGGCCTAAACGTTTTGGCGTTATCTCAGACTATGACTGTCCACCCCCCGGTCCCTCGAATAGCGTCTGCCGACTTATACCTAGGCTCTGGCCAACTAGGCCCGGTAGCTTCAACGTCGGCGGGGCAAACACCGGCTAACGAAGGATGTGATAGAAAATTTCGAAATATGGTTCGATATCGCGTATACTGCAGTACCAGAGAGGTCTTTGGCGCGGTTCTACTAGGCTGTCCCATCGTCCTCCACTCATACCAGTGTTGTCGTTCCAACCCACGGGTGAGGCTGTCCACGCTGTAAATCACCGAACGTTCACCGAGACACGCCTACCCTGCTCCCGAGTCCCTTCTCATTATTATCACTGGCGTTTTGCACTATGGCAAGAAAATTGCGATTGTTCATGACTATACTGCCAAGCTATATTGGCCATGTGTCACTAATGGCCAGACCTGCCGCCATTATCACTTAACCATAGAAAAGACCTATGACACTGCCGGTAAGGACGAAGAAGGGATATCGGAGCTAAAATAGGCCGGGCAATTCTCGTAGTTTCCGGTTTGCAACCCTCTGCAATCGTGGATTCCTGTCCCCCGTAAGAAATCGGCAATTGTCACTGGGAGAATAGTCGCTTATAGAAGTACCAACGGTGGTGGTAGTGACGGTAATACTTAGCTATAGATCTGGCTGGTAGTAGAACGCAGTCGATGAAGCTAAGTCTATGCAGTAAAAAAATGATTCGTCTCTTGTAAGAAGTGTATGAGTGCCACAACTCAACAGGCCCGGAGCTGTTTATAATCCATGTCAAGCCTGCTTTAGATCATGATATAACCACTATGCTAAAGAGGTAGATTGTGACGATCGTCGTCCACTTGGACACTGGGCTATTTGAGTTTCGTTTAAGAATTTTCATCGTCGTCCGAAAAACTGACATTATATAGGAATCCCTCCGCGTTTAGCAATGGTGTCGGGGCATATCGTGACATGGTATGTATTCATCTTTTTTTCAAAGTAATGAGTTTGCTCTTGAACATTCTATTCCCGTTCATGTTCTCGCAAAAGTTACACACCTGTGCCTCAATCATGTCCAGTTCCGTCTACTTCCCGTCGCGATCAGATATGGCTTGGTAGACGCTCTCACTGACTGAGATTCTGGTAGGTATAGGGTGTTTGTGAAAAAAGGCTGGGTGGAAATTCAGAAGATGACTTTGATGGGAAAGCGGGGAATGAAAGTTAAGGACTGCATGAGGTCGACAGCAGCTTTGTGTATGTGTTCTCTAGTTGAGTGCACTTGGCGTGGCCATATACAAAAGATGGTGGACCTTTTCCAGTTGCAGAGCATTAACTGTGAGCCCTGATCGCATTAGCTCATGTATCTGCGTATACAACGACACTTCCAGTCCGCCACTATGCGGCTAGAATGAAATCAAGTCAGGTGCAACTCAGCTGTCAAGTGTAAGGTAGGCTGGTGGATGGACGCGAGCTAGATCACCCGAAAACAGCGGACAAGTAAGACTTCTCGGCATGGCATATCAATTTTGGTTACCACGAGGCCACCTGCAGCATGCCGAACAACACCGGTTAACCCTTTGAAGCTGTTTTTAAAGTCATAGGTAGAAGTATCTTCACATAATCTGACATTTGAGTGGGACAGAAAAAGATCCGACTCGAAACTTGGCGAGTTATAGATACTCCCCTCCACGTCGAATGAAAACAGAGATCCTCAACATCACGTCCTGCCGTGTAGTCTACAAGACTGCGAAACCTCGATCCTGGTTGTAAAATACCCAGCGACACTGGTGACTACCTTCAAAGGAAAATTCGGATATCCAGCTAGTAGCGTGTCTGAAACTTTGAAGTCAAAACCAAGACAGTCTTTCCAAAGACAGTAACTTTTACTAATAATCCGAGCTAGAACGTGGGCCGTGGCTAGCTGGTCAACAGCCATGTGCAACTTTGTCTCTCACTGCCCCGCAGCCGTGCCGAAGTTTTTGTAGTGCTGCACTAACCTTTCTGGTAGTCGGACGTGATCGAACGGCGGAAAAGTCAAGCTTCAAGTCAAGCTTCAGCTGCTTGGGATCATCGCAATTCTCCCAGTCATCATTGTATACAGTGCTCAACGTTCACATCTATTTTCAAGCGTTCCTCAAGCGTCATTTGGGTTCTCAGCTGCTGCCGCCGTTATCCGTTTTCAGTTATACGTATGGCCCAAGCGAGTTGCGCCTCATTCCTCGAACCTCATCCACTTTGGTACATCCCCATGTCGCGCCGCACCCAAAGAATGGAGGTATCCATGGATTTTGGCAGATGGGCTACTAGTGGCATGAGCCTCGAGGAGCCGGGTGGTCGACGAGGTTTTTCTCCGGATCTTGTCTTGATAGTAGTCATCGATTTTGCCATCGCCGACTACTCCGATGTGACAATGTGTTATCGTTATCCCATCTCCAAATATCCTTCCAACGCCTCAAGTCGCAACTTCATTGGGTGTTGGGTGCATATCCCTTCAATCCTGTATACTATACCTTCCTCAGGGTCATATCTCAACGTCGTGAGTTCCTAGAGTACTTGAGGCATTGCCATGTGCTGCTGCAACTCGGGAATCTCTGCAGTCGCGAGACGATGCCCATCTCTCCAGAGATGTGTTCAGCGGGCTATTAGCAAGTTGCACCGAATGATGTCTCGAAAATGAGTAGCTGAATATACTGCCTGGGGAAGTCACTCAAGGAGTAAAATCAACCAAGTGAGGTAGAATTCAAAGAAACGTTCCCAGCTTGCCAATGTTTCGCGAGCAACGTGTGGCCAGAGACTTCTCTCTGTGGTATGTGTCTATCGCCGCATTCATATCCCACCATCCCCACAATGTCGTTTGAAATAGCCTACAATCAACTTCCTGCATGGAATTCACTGGAACTAGGCCAGCCAAACCATTTCCGAGCTTCTGAGGCTGGCTGAACCCTTCAATATCAGACCACATGGCAGCCACATAACTCGGCCTGGACAGCCTCGCGTTCCTGACGAAGTGACCTGGTGGTTTGCTACAAATGTCTGGACGAGTGCGGCCGTGACCCGGTCGTGGCTCATAACCTGTCAGTTGTGAAACTACTCTGAACGGTATTGATGCGCACCAGGTTTTCGAACAGCCGGAAGAAGAAGTCAATCAGAGGGTCATTACTTGTTCCATATGTCAGGTAGGAGCTGAAAATAATGGCTGGCTGATTAAAACTCTCCGAGAACGGAGATCCGCTGCATCATAAGTCCCGCCAGCGGGCTGGCCTTAGAGCTCCTGGTTTTGGGTCTAATGCTCGATGCACAATATTCATAGCTTTAAAGACCGTACTCTACGACGTTGTGTCACCTCGCGAAAGTTTATATAACTCCTTTGGGATCTCTACAATATTGCTCTCCAGATTCCTCGACTCATTCAAGATTACATTTCGCAACCTTCGAAGCACCTATAAGTCTGCAACAAAAAGCCTTACAGCCATGACAAACAAATACACCATTGCAGTTCTCAACATGTCCGGGTCCGGGTCGTCCGGATCTACTCAAAGCTATACTATAAGCTACGCAGATGGAGCTGTCCCCTCTACCAAGACCTTTTCAGTCGACATCAATGATCAGAAGGTCAAGACTTTTGAGCTTGCGTTTACAGAGGGTAAGCTTAAAATTACACTACTAGAGCTATGTTGGATCATCCTATCTTACATATTTTCTAGTCGTCTTCAAAATCATGGTAAACCCGAGCGGTGAACCAAATGCCGAATTCATTCTTGGCGTGAATGGGCAGGGTATGTCGGCAAATGTAAAACACGAGGAGAATAATACACTGGCAGTTGAGATTGTATGAATCCTTCGAGCTTGGGTCAGAGCTGGGGCTGAAGAATAGACTGGTTAGTTAGACTATTGGGAGAAACGTTAGCTTAGCCATAAGTACCCGTAGCTGTCCTTGCGCAAATGTAGCTGCGTGAATGATGGACCTCGATGGCTGTATGGAAAAATGTTCCGTGAGTAACGGGTAAGACTAAAGACTAAAGGCCAATGCATCTCGCATCACTTCCAGAGCATCGGTCGAAAAGTATCCAATGCCTAAGTGTAAAACATACTGTACGCCAGGATGATTCACATTTCTCCACAATCACAAATGGTAACAGCTATGTATCTCTGGCCCACTCAGGGTTTCTAAGGTCTGTCTATGTAACTCTTCGTGGGGAACCCCTGCATGAACGATGCCTCACGAACAAAGGGGCTGGGATTGCTGGCTACGCGTATCACTCATTTACCCACGAGTGCGAGAAGACTTCTGCCCCCCATTCTTAGATTTGTCATGATAACCCAACTGACTGAAGTGAGTTTATGTATGACATCGACTCTCTCGACGCGCATTGCGATATCCGCGATTCGTCCGCTTGCCGTAGCAACTGACTATATGGACGCGGCATAGCCTTATATCGTTTATTTCCTTGTCGGCATCAGTCGTATACCAAAGTCCAATGAATATTTATCTGAAGGCCGTTGAACAATGCGCTCGACGTCGTTGCGGCGTTGACTGTGAGATACAGGCCTGGGGCAGAGGGAGAGGCTCATATCTTGTGTCTCTTTTCCCGTGGGTATCCCAAGCTCCTGCCGAGACGATAGAGCACAGCAATTGGTGAGTGACAGTGCCACATCTAGTTGCCACCGAGAGAGTCCTTCGGTCCTGGTTGACCACTTCCAGCAGTCTTTGATGCTCTCGCTCAAGGCAATTCCTGCTGAGAGTGTAAGTCTCCATAAGAGTAAGAGCCGTTCACGGAGAGTATTACAGCCAAACCCAGTGTATGGCAGACCTAATCCCAGGTAGAGAAGATGGACAGAACCCCCTCGGTTTCCCTTTCTCATTTCTTGATACCCACAACTACCATATTCCTCGGGCTCTCGGCGTAATCAAACACGGTCTCGACCCAGCAGTCCCGGACGAGGTCGTCGTGCTCCTTCAAAAACAGCCAGCGATCCGTGACGATGAGGGACTCGACGACAGTGGCGCTGAATGCCATGAGACTCCATACGGCCGCGACCTCTTTCTTCCGGGAGGCGTACTCCTTTTCGTACACTTCAATCTCCTCGTCCGTCATATTCGCCATCTTGTCGCGGATCACTTGGCTGTACTGACTGTACTCGCGATTCGTCGTCAACTTAGCTACCGCGCCGCGCACGTAGTCCTTGAGGGACTTGTAGCACGCTTTCCGGAGGGAGCCGATGATGACGGGGTTCGTGGAGGTGTTGAAGGGGGATTCCCTCTCCTCTTCCGTCTGGTCTGATGGTTCTTTGCCTTCGGTGCCGCTTTCGGCCGCAGCGTCGCGGTGGTAGACCTTTGAGATGACGCCGCGGTCGAGGAAAATCTTTTGCAGCACCGCGCGAAACAGGTGCCGCGTGAAGAAGTCGTCGCTCTCGGGCTGCGTCCAGTTCTGCGGCGCCTGGCACGCCATCATCCTCGCCGTGATGTTCATCCGCACGCCGTGTCCCTTGTACCCGGAAAGCGTCTCGCTCAGAGGGAAACCCTCCGGGTCACGCCGCGCCGACTCGCGCACGACGCGGCCGTTGAGCGCCTGCAGGCTGGGGCGGGCGTACCCGGCCAACTTATAGGTCGGCGGGCCGAGCTTTTCCGTGAGCAGGTTGTAGCAGCAGCCCACGATGGCGACAGAGTGAATGGCCGGGTTCATGACGAGCGAGCGGATGCCGTAATGCGAGAGGTTTCCGCACGAGTGGATCGAGACGGCCATCATTTTGAGGTCCTGGGATGATTCCTCCGGGAGGACCTCCTTTTCGATGCGCCCAATGACTTCGGTTAGGTCGCCGCTCTCGAGCCTGCCGACCACGTACGAGACAGAGCCCTTCCCCAGCGCGCGGTTGTATCGCGGCTCAAGCTCCTTGATGGGCCTGAAATCAAAGTCCTCTGCTGCCGCTACGGCGTCGGGCGAGGCTTTCGCGGGTGCCTTCTTGACAACGTCAGTACCGAGCCTGTCAGCCTGCATCTGCAGCCACAGCTTCTTGTTGCGCATGACGACCTCCTTGCTCGCCAGGCCTGAGAGCACGTCGAGCCCCTTTGCGCCGTCAATGTTGTGCTCGCGGCCCTCGACGGCGACGACGTGGCGGTTGTAAGGGGGCAGCGCGAGGGTACGGCCGAGGTAGTTTTGGCCGCTACCGAAATCCACGAAATGCGTCGTCTCCTTTCCCCAGAGTGAGGCGATTGAGCCGGCAAGAGAGTCGACATAGCGCGCAAAATGGGCCACCTCGTGGACTTTTTTGGGCTTCATGCCGACGGCGACGGAGCGGGAGAGCTTTGGCGGGGGTTTACTCTCAGACGTGGTGGGGGAGAATGTCCTGCGAAGAGAGAGCTTGCGGATGCTGCGAATGTAGTTCAGGAAACTCTCTGGCGGGGCGACTGTCATGGCGTCTAATGGCAAGTTATCGAGGTCATCTCGCATGAGGAGGTCCAGGAGGGCGTTAGTGCCGTAGGAGAGAAGGAAGGGTTGCCATTCCTGAGGAAGGATCTGGGAGAAGAGGCCCCTTTCGTTTGTGAAGAAGTCGAGGACGTGGACGCCACCGCAGAGGATTTGGAAGATGTCTGTGGTTGTGGCAAATTCGAGGAGCTCCTCGACGTAGGCTTCTGGCGAGGGGAACTCGTCTGAGCAGGGGAGGGGCTTTTCTGGTATCATCTTTTTTCTCAGTTTGAGGCGCTTTTAATAATGTGTTTCTTGTGTGCGCAGGTAACTCTTCCCTGGGTTGAGTGATTTATAAATGTTCGATATATCAAAGAGCATGAGTAAGATTCAGCGAGTGGCTCAGTGAAAGATGGTGAGAGCTTCGTATGGGAGTGAGTGAGCATGTGGAGTTGTAAATGGCGGTTGTGAAAATCCCACTTACATTAAATTGGTCAATGGAGGGGAATTTTTCTCGGTGAATGAGGGGCACACCGAGAGATCGAGCAGGGGTCTTCGGTGACGTGAAATGTCTCGGTGAGGAATGCTCAAACGTGCCGAAGAATCTCCGGAAGTACCCTTACACTTCCCCGAAGCTGCGACCACCAGTGACCTGCAAAAGTGGACACCTATGGAAGACGGGGACGGGAGGTAGCCGTGCCCGTAAAGGTAGCTCGCACCCACCCGACCCGGCCGGCCGCCAGACGCGCAAACGTCATCCCAGGCCGCGTTTACCTAACAGGGTACCTAGATTGACTACAGATCGCCAATTCCGCCTCGACGATAGGCATTCCCTCCTTCAATACCCTAGGACCAAGCTGCAACCTTTGGCTAGAAACCACATCCTTTGTGAAGAGATTCTAACTGCAAGCCAATGCGTCCGCGGATGCGCCTTTCCAACCCTTCGCCAGGATGATGTCCTCCGCCAACGAAGAGGATCCCTTCCTCCAAGTTCAACAGTACGCAATCGCATCCCCTTCGCATCCAACCACTTGGCACCATCCTTCCTCTAGCTATCACCTTTGAACCAAAATACTGACCAAGAACGCACAAAACAGAGACGTCCTCGCCCAGCTAGACTCAACCAGACCCCTATTCACATCCTACCTCCGCATCCGCTCCCTCTCAACCTCCCCAACCTCCCCCGAACTCGCCTCCGCCCGCGCCGACCTCGAATCCGCCCTCGCCTCCCTAGCCGAAGACCTTGCCGACCTCGTCGAGTCCGTCAAGGCCGTCGAATCCGACCCCACAGCCTTTGGCCTCTCCGGCCCAGAAATCACGCGGCGCAAGAGGCTAGTCCAAGATGTCGGCGGCGAAGTAGAAGACATGCGCGAGGAGCTCGCCAAAAAGCTCGGCGCAGCAACAGCAGGAGGCAAGGGCAAATCCTCAGCCGCAAACTCGGACCTCCCCGATCCGAGCTCCTTCGCCATAGGCGACGGCCACCACGGAGACCACGACGACGACGACGACGACTACGCGGCCGAGTTCGAGCAGCAGCAGCAGCTCGAGATGATGCGCGAGCAGGACGGCCACCTGGACGGCGTGTTCCGCACCGTGGGCAACCTGCGGCGGCAGGCGGACGACATGGGCCGCGAGCTCGAGGAGCAGAGGGAGATGCTCGAGGTCGTGGACGGCGTCGCGGACCGCGTGGGCGGGCGGCTGCAGACGGGCGTGGCGAAGCTACAGTACGTGATGCGGCACAACGAGGACCGGCTGAGTAGCTGCTGCATCGCCGTGCTCATTTTTGTGCTGATCTTGTTGCTTATTTTGTTGTTGATTTTGTAAAAAAAAAAAAAGGGGAGAGTATCATTGGCTTGCTGCCCGGCGAGACCGAAGTAATGATGGATGGCTGGAGGGATCTGGGAATCATTAGAAGACGACAAAAAAGGGAAGAGTGATGGCGAAATGCCGTTTCTCTTTAAATTGAGGGTTTGGGAGTTTATGGAGCGTGTTTGGAACTATTGTCAATGAAGTTTTTTGTCTTTTACTACTTTGAGAGCCTTTCATCTGGGGGCTATGATAGATCTCAGTCATCCAACTCACGATACGCAATGTCTAGAGTACGTGTCTTTGTATCCTCCCCTAGCAGACCGCCCCAACTTGCTTCAATGGATGAGCCAAACCAAAGCCCAGACCCCGTGCTCATCGCAAGTCATTGTGAAGTCTTGCTGTTTTGGTTCTTTTAGGTGTATAAGCACCCCCATGCCAGGATGTCCAGAAACGCCATAGTATGTGTACCCCCTTGAAAGCACTTCCCCAATATTGGCAACCCATGCCTCTCATGTATGTGTACAAAAGGTAAGTCGTCTACCTTGGCTTTTGTTTCCTCCCCCCACCATCTATGCCACATCTAACCCAGAGTCTCGTCTCAAAACGTCGCCTAGGACCTGCAACGCCTGCGCGGCCGTGGCCCCCGGAGGGGCTCTCTTAGGAAACTCCACCAACGCCATCCTGAGGGCCGCGACGGCAGCGTTGCCGTAAAAGTTGATGAAGCGCTGTTCGTGACCGTCAATCATGGACTTGAGCACCACGTACTGCGTGTTGGAGACGAGCTGCGGCGGCGAGTTGACAATCTGCGCCATGGCCTTCCAGTAGTTTGTCGGCGGGTAAGGGTTCGTCTTGGACGCCTTGCTGAAGTCCCGGAGCGCAATGGCCGCGAAGCCGGCGCCAAGACCCGTCATCCTGTCGTTGTGCGCCTGCTCGGGCACCCAGTTGCCGTTTTCCTTCTTCCAGCCAATGGCTCTGCGGCCGCCCTCCGTCTTGTCGCTGCCTCTAGAGCCAAAAAGGACGGGGCAGGCCACGCGGAATTTGGCGATGAGGATGTCGATCATGGAGCCGCCGCGCCAGTGGTAGTCCTTGTTGGAGAAGATTTGCGCCGTTACGATGCCGACCGGCTCGGCCGACTTTGGGTTCGCGCCGCCTTCGTTGGAGAACTGCTGGATGATCGCCTTGGAGAGGATGTTGAGGAGGTATATGAACAGGGCCGGTAGCTGCGGTCCGTTGTTAACAGCGCCTTCGGCTGGCTCCCTGTTTTGCTGCACGTATATGCTTGCGTCGATTAGAGGTGACGGGACCTGGCCGCCGAGAGATTCGCGCAGTGCGGCATTGATCGTGGCAAGCTAAGACATCGTTAGCATTTGTCTTGTGACACCAACAAGACCAGACTTACGGGTTGCGCGTTTGCTCCTTTGCCAGCAGTCAGCTGCCCAATAGACTTCCTGATTTGTCTCCGCATTTCTCCCAACTTGCCCTTCAATGGATTCCCAGGCTGTTTCGACAGGGCTTCGACGTCCTTTCGCAGCTTCTTGAGAGCTTGGTGTATCTGGGTGTACCTGTCAACAGTCGGTTGAGCTGGCACTGGTGCAGGCGCGGCAGGCTGAACAGCGGGCTTCGGGGCTGGAGGCGCTGCTGCGGGCTTCGTGAGGAAACCATTGGATTGGGTTGACGGCGTAGCAACGACCTGTGCGGGTGCTGGTGAAGGCGCTGCAGTAGGTGCCTTCGCGGCTGGGAGAGCTGATGTCGTAGCGGTTGTCAAGGGGGCTGGCTTTGGTGCGGCTGGCGGCACAGCAGCGGGCTCGGCTTTGGCCGCCGTTGTGCCATTGACCTGAGATTCTTGCGACTTCTTCGGCTCCGGCTTGGGCGGTTCAGGTACGGGTTCGGGAGGGAGTTGAGGAATCTGCTTGGCCTTGAGCTCTCTCAGCCTCTCTTGCTCGGCGCGCACTGCTGCTTCTGCCTTGAGGCGATTTTCTTCCTCTTTTTGTAGCTGTGCTATCCTCCTTTGCTCAGCTTCCAACCTTTGCTTTTCCTCCTGCAATTGGTGGACCTCATAGACCCTCAAAGCGGCGAGGCGAACACGCTCGTGCTCGAGCTGGGCAGCGGCGAGGGCATCGCGATGGCTCAGCTCTGAATTACGATTCTCGGAGAGAAAATCTGCTGTGAAGCCTCGTTCGGGGCTTGACTTGATGTTGCTATCGTGCTGGCTTCTCCGCGAAGGAGAAGAGTGCGCCATGGTTGGTCGCACAGTTGGCTACCAATGGCCTCGATGGTGTGGTCGTAGGTGGGAATTGAGACCAGGCCCTACGGCATCGGGCGGTGGGGTCAGGCGCGGGATGCAAAATTGCACCGACAACCGAGAGAAACAAAATCAACAAAACCCAAGGACCCAACACACCAACAAACGGCCGATCAGAAAGAGTGACGTCCGCGGGTGGGCGGTTGGATGGGGAAGGCAAGGCAAGGCTCGGGCGATTTCTGAGAGAGTCCAGACGAGGCTGTGCTTCTTGACGTCTTCGGGGCCGTTTGGGTCAAGTGGTGTCGTCAAGCGGACAAGGTATTGGTTGACGGTAGGTATGCCGTAGAAGGCGTAGGTACTATCGAGTTCAGGTTGGGCGCGGCGTTGGTGTGGAGCAACAAAAATAATACGATGTATCAGGCGCGCTTTGATGTGGGATAATGCTACCGTTCGCGGCGGCCTGGGGCTCTTTGAGGTGAATTGGGGGGGGGGGGGGGGGGTGTGGGGGGGGGGGGGGAAAAAAAAAAAAAAAAGGGCGTGGGGGGGGGGGGGTGTGCGGCCGGGGGGGGGGGGGGGGGGGGTTGGGGGGGGGGGGGGGGGGGGGGGGGGGGCCTGTTGCTGAGCTGTGGGAAAAGGCGATGACCCTTGTTGCGCTGTCGCCCTGGACCTGTGTTGCTGCTTGCAGCTCTACCCTTTTTGCTCCATGGGGTGGGTGAGCAGACGAGCAGACCAAAGTGATGGAGCGGAGCAGTCAGCAGAGCAGCCAAAGAAGCAGCAATCGACCAGACCTCAGGAAAAACGAAGAAGAGACGTCGCCGTGGTAGCGACCCAGGTGGGTCCAGTAGGAGCTAGATGGACGAATGATAGCTCTGAATCTTGGCAGAAAGGAGCACAGCGTCCCCGCTGTTTGGTCGGACCGCAAAGTGGGGCATTAGCCCGAACTCGGGCAGTCACATTTATTGCCGGGCGGTCAAGAACTGAGTACGAACTTCCTCGGTCTCTGCACCGTTATCCGTACAAAAAGTGCATTCATACCTTACGGAGTGCCTAGGTCAATAATCAAAAGTGAATATTCCTGTCATGTCGTTGAGATTCTGCAATTGGAGTCGGACCCGGCCCCAATTTCCAACTGGGGAGTCGGCTCAAGTCTGGATCTGGCCCGTCTCGCCTTGACTTTCCCTCTCGGTTTTGCTGGCCTGACAAATGAAAATCGGCAACAGCCAACACGACCGTAGACTGGACGGAGCGTCCGAGAGCTGGGCATGACGGGGAAGAGAATCTTCAACCTAGTATTCGTACCGATACCTGCTCAGATAGAGTGTGTGATGCCATTGAGGAGAAATCTTGTCAGGGAGGTACGTAGTAAACTCCACCGTTGCACTGGGGGGAATACCTGGGTATGTCAATCACAGCTCTGATGAATGATGACTGAGGGATGCTGCCATGCTGCCATTGCCCGGAGCTTCCTGGTCCTCATGGCTGGGGGACCGACCAGAGCAACGCAACGCAACACAACGCAACGCAACACAACGCAACGACAGGAGAGCTTGCTGCAGCCTGCAAGCCTCGCTCAGGTATCCGTACGGTACGGTACGGCGTAGGGGTTCTGTTGATGTGGTGTCCAACGATGCGGTATCCATCCGGAAACACTGGCGTATTCCTGTTCCCCCCTTGACTTGAGCCCTGCATTTGGCTTGCCCACCGCGCAGCACCCCCGTAGACGCCAATGTACCTAGTAAGTAGCCGCCGCTCGCCGGCCGCTGACCATCCTGTTGCCCCGAGGTACGAAGCCAAGGTTCCTGACTTGCTGGCCCTAAGTATTTCGTTTGTGCTGCTAGCAGCTTTATGCGTACATAAGGGAAGGTCACGTAGGTAGTCATGCTGTTGACTGTGTCAGTAGTCAATGCCAGTGTGCGAGACTAAAGGGCCGCAGGAGACGGAACTTGGCGGGCGTTCCAGTCCCAGTTCCAGCCCAGCCCTCGAGAGACTCGAGACTACGCAGTAGAGACTGAGAGTCAACCCCCCTCGGCTCGCTCCTTGCCCACCTACGTAAGGTGTCTGGGACGACGACTGTGGTGCGGGTGAGATGGGCGACAGGTCAAAGTCGGGGTGGTGCACTACGGCAAGGTACTGATCAACAAAGTATCCGAGCGGCTAACCTGTTACCTGTCCTCGAACCCGGAAGCCCTGACCTGGTTCTGGCTCTGTCTCTGGGCCTGGCGTGCAGCGTAGCTGCGTAGGTGCGGCGTGGACTCTCCCCACCCGCGTCGAGACCTGACTGACTGGAGACGTCTGACTGAGTCTTGTTACCTTGGGTAGGTATGTACTCTCGTACAGAGTATCCGCCACAAGGTACAAAGCACTCGACCCCAAGTCAGGCTCGTTCGGGGGCACGGGGGACAGGTACTTCCTTGCTTACCTATCCGCCCCTAGAGTGCCATGTTTGGGGACAAGCCGTCAGCCATGTACCTCTAGCTTGGGGTAAGGTACCTACGGATACCTGGCCTGGATTTTGTCATTACCTCGACTTTTGGAGGCATTTCCAAGCTGGGCTGGTTGGGATAGCTACATACGAGACCCTTGGATAGGATTGCGAAAAGGATTGCGAAAAGAGCTCGAGGTGCGAATGATGCATTTCGGATCCAGTTGTGAAGGAAGGGATGTTTTAGCAGAAACACATGTAGAGTCCAGCACGAGTGCACAAGCTTCTGCTGCAGACAAGACCAAACCAAGCAGCAGCCTGTACCACCATCGTCATCATCATAATCGCCGCGTCTCCCGCCTGACTACGTAAGGTAAGATACTTGGACTACCTACCTCGCCTGGGTACGACCTGTCTGTCTCCCTACAGGGCCGCCATGTGTGCTATTGCCTTCTGGTAAATCACTAGCGCACCATGTACCTTGTCGTCTACCAGCGGCTCAGCTTCCAGTGCCAGTTGTGCTCCTAGGAGGTGTGCTTCGTACCCAATGGTGGGAAGGCATTCGTATGGTGAGGTAAGGTAGGTAGGTACTTTTATACTTACCTTAGCTACGGGACTGGCCCGGTGTCTTGAGTCTTCCCACCAGGCGGGCCGGCTCTTGCTGCAACTGCCTGTCCCTCCTCCACCGGGGCGGGTGCTACTGCTGTCCTTGCTCCTCCTCCTCGCTCGCTCTCTCCTCAGGTCTGCTCCCCCCCTCCCCACTCCACACCCCCCCGACCCGACTCGCCTTTCGCAACAAACCCCCCGTCAGTCTCTCCCAGAGAGGACATTCCCATCCTGCCTCATCTTCTTCTTCACGTCTTGTCTGCCTCATCCTTTTTTTCCCACCTCAACCATCACTTCGCACACTCCTTGCGAGCTCCTTTCCCTTCCACCTCGCTCCGTCTCGCCAGACATCCAATCCTCTCTTCCCAATCACTCCCCAATCCATTCCATTTTCAATCCCTCATCGATCGATCAGACAAACAAGAACTACCTTCCTTGAACCAGAAGCAACCACGTCCACAAATCCAAAAGACCAACCAAGAGCCCAAAACCACATCCATCCCAGTTCTCCACTGTCTTTAGTCCGCAAACTACATACGTCAATACCTTACGTGCCACATCATCCCACAAAGCTTCATCGACGCCTACGCCGACCACTCGGTATCCGACGCTATCAATCCTACCCCCATCCGTCCTTTATACCAACGACGCACTTGACGTGCATTACAAGATACAAAAAAATCAAGAAGCCAATCTTTCATCTGCGTGACTGCCCATCATGGAGCAGCAGCAGCAACAACAGCAGCAGCAGCCGCCGCAGCAGCCAACCGGCGGCGTCCCAGGCCCAACCGGCCGACGGCTTCACATTGCGCACAGGAGAAGCCCTTCCGAGCTGACTCCGTTGATGAGCATGTTTGCCAACCCGGGTAGTACGTTGATTCGCATCTTCTTCCATCATTTCTCCCATCTTCACACATGATCTTGCGGCTCCTGCGCGATGCCCCCGACCCCTCGTCACCCGTTTCATCATACCAAATTGAACATCGATGCTGACAATGAGTCTTGCTTTGCAGTGGAACAGCTAGCTATTCAGCAGCAGATTGAGCTTTTGCAGCAACAGCAGCAACAGATCCAAGCTACGCAGCAACAATACATGAACATGGGAATGATGCCCCCCACCCAACAGCTCGGTCCAGGCGGTGCTTTCAATCCCCTGCAGCCCGGCATGGCTCCCCAGGGCGCCTTCCAGTTCCCCCAGCAGATTCCGCAGCAGAATGTCTCCATGGGCGGTCCTCCGACCCAGCCAATGTCACATCGCCGTAATCAGTCGGCACTCCCCAACATGGGAATGGGTCCTCCTCCCGCCCCCTCCTCTGGTGCATCCGGCACGAACTTCAATGATGCCTCCGGCGCCGGTCCCGGCAGGGAAAACTCCGGTGGCCGTGGCGGTCGTGGTGGTGGTGCCGGCGGCGGTGGACACCAGCGACGTCACTCTTTGGCGCTTGCCGACGCGAAGAAGGCGGCAGAAATCGCACAGCAGAAGCGCACGACATCCGGCTTCTCCTTCCCAATGTCCCCCTCCACTGAGGCCAGCGCCGAGGGTGGTGCCTCCGCCCCCGCCCCCGCTCCGACTCAACCCGAGGCTCCGATTGCTCAGGGCACCAGTGCCGGCCGTGGGCGCGGTGGCCATGGTCGCAGCCAGAGTATGGCTGTGAACGGTCGCGGCGGCGCCGCTGGTCGCGGTGGCTTCTCTGGTGATGCTAGCCAGAACGACTTTGGTCGTCGCGGCAGCCAGACTGGCGGCGGTGGTCACGCCAGAACCGGCTCTCGCAACTTTGACGGAAACTGGCGCAACCAGGGTGCTAACCAGGGCCAGGAGCAGGGCGGCTTCCAGCCGGGCCACCGCACTCGTGGTTCTGTAAACCAGTCCATCTCCAACATCGGCGCATTCCAATACCCCGGTCAGCCTCAGCTTATGCAGATGCCCGGCAACATGCTCCCCATGGGCATGTACCCGGGCCAGCAACTGAACCCCATGCAGATCCAGCAACTTCAGGCCCTTCAGGCTGCCCAGATGGGCGGTCAGCAATTCGTTGGCCTTCAGGGCGGCCAGCATGGTGGCCAGCTTGGTGGAAACCAGCAGCAGCAACAGCAGAGGAAGACTCTTTTCACTCCTTACCTCCCCCAAGCCACCCTCCCGGCTCTTCTCGGCGATGGGCAGCTCGTGTCTGGTATTCTTCGCGTGAACAAGAAGAACCGCAGCGACGCCTATGTTTCCACTCAGGACGGCCTGCTTGATGCTGATATCTTTATTTGCGGTAGCAAGGATCGCAACCGTGCCCTCGAGGGTGACTTGGTTGCCGTTGAGCTTCTGGATGTTGATGAAGTTTGGTCCCAGAAGCGTGAGAAGGAAGAGAAGAAGAAGCGCAAGGACATCACCGACACCCGTTCTGGATCCACCAACGGCCAGAACCAGTCATCCGGTAACAACGATGACAACACGCAGCAGGAGGGCGGCATTCGTCGTCGCGGCAGTCTGCGCCAGCGCCCCACTCAGAAGAAGAACGACGATGTCGAGGTTGAGGGTCAAAGCCTGCTTCTCGTCGAGGAGGAGGAAATCAACGATGAGGCCAAGCCCCTGTACGCAGGTCACATTGTGGCTGTCGTTGAACGTGTAGCTGGTCAAATGTTCTCGGGCAACCTCGGTCTGCTCCGTCCCAGCAGCCAGGCTACGAAGGAGAAGCAGGAAGCGGAGAGAGCCGCCAGAGATGGAGGCAACAACCGCCACCACGACAACCGTTCGCAGGAGAAGCCCAAAATTGTTTGGTTCAAGCCAACCGACAAGCGCGTGCCGCTCATTGCCATTCCGACTGAGCAGGCGCCGCGCGATTTCGTCGAGAAGCACCAGGATTACGCTGATCGCATCTTTGTTGCCTGCATTAAGCGTTGGCCGATCACCTCTCTGCATCCCTTCGGCACCCTTGTTGAGCAGTTGGGCCGCATGGGCGACCTTAAGGTGGAGACCGACGCTCTGCTGCGCGACAACAACTTTTCTTCCGATGAGTTCTCCGAGGCTGTGCTGCGCAGCGTCGGCCTTCAGGACTGGTCTCTCGCTAAGGAAGAGGAGGCTGCCTTGGCTGCTCGCCGGGACTTCCGTGATGAGAAGGTTGTTACGCTCGACCTCAACGGTTCTCCCGAGCTTGCCAATGCCATCCACATCAAGACTCAGCCTGATGGCAAGATTGACATTGGTATTCACATTCCTGATGTTACTCACTTCGTCAAGCCCAACTCGCTTGTCGACCGAGAAGCCAAGAAGCGCGGCACCGCCGTTCACTTGGTCAACCGCACATGCGCACTCCTTCCTCCCAAGATTGGTGGAGAGGTATGCTCTTTGGCTCCTGGTGAAGAGCGTCTGGCTGTCAGTGTTCTCTTCCGTGTTAACCCTCACAACGGCTCTGTTGCCGAGGGAGACACTTGGATCGGCAAGAGTATCATCAAGAGCACTGCCAAGATCACTATTGAGGAGATCGACTCGGCTCTGAACGGTCAGGCCGATTGGAAGCACGAGTCTCTTCAACTGAAGGATGTCCAGATCCTTAACGTAAGTTCCACTGAAACTTGCATCTGAGCTGCACTGACATTATCTAGGCTGTCGCTCAAAAGTTCACCGAGGCCCGTCTTGGTGCTGGCGGTGAGCCTATCGCGCCCCTCAGGCTTCTGCAGCAACTCGATGATGAGAACATTCCCATCAAGCACAACATCTTCGATTCTACCCCTGCCACTGAGCTCGTCGAGGAGCTCATGCACAAGGCCAACACTTACGTTGCCCAGCGTCTCGCCCAGGCTCTGCCTGAGAAGGCTCTTCTGCGCCGACAGGGCCCCCCTAATGCTCGTCGCCTTCAGACCTTCGCCGATCGCATGAACGCCCTTGGCTACGAGGTTGAGACTTCTGGCAGCGGAAGCATGCACAACAGCCTTTTCAAGGTTGACGACGCCGATATCCGCAAGGGAATGGAGACGCTTGTCCTCAAGTCTATGCAACGTGCCAAGTACTTCATTGCCGGCAAGACTGCTAAGCAGTTGTGGCCTCACTATGCCCTCAACTTGCCTCTTTACACTCATTTCACTAGCCCCACGCGGCGCTACGCCGACATCATCGTCCACCGTCAGCTCGAGTCTATTCTCTCCGAGGGTAAGATTGAGTACACGGAGGAATTGGAGAGCCTTGTCAAGACCATTGAGTCTTGCAACACCAAGAAGGACTCCGCACAGAATGCCCAGGAGCAGAGCATTCACATTGAGTCCTGCCGTGAGATGGACAAGAAGCGCCAGCAGGTCAACGGCGATCTCATCACGGAGGGTATCGTCCTCTGCGTGTACGAGTCGGCCTTTGACGTTCTCATTCCCGAGTGGGGCTTTGAGAAGCGGGTGCACTGCGACCAGTTGCCCCTCAAGAAGGCCGAATTCAGAAAGGAGAAGAGAGTCCTTGAGCTCTACTGGGAGAAGGGCGTGCCCAGCTCCGCCTACGTACCGGAGGACGAGCGCCCCAAGGCTGCTGCGTCTGTAAGAAACGCCAACGCTGCTGCTGCTGCTCGCCAAGCGGAAGCTGCAGAGCGTGCCAAGAAGGAGAGGGAGGAGGCTGCACGCAAGCAGACCGAGACGGGCACCATCTCTACTGACGACGTCGATGCCCTTTTCGACGACGATGACGACAATGCGTCGGACGTTACTGAGGCCATGGCTGGAGCTTCGTTGGCCGAGAGACCCACACAGAGCGTCCCCGGCTCCCCGAC